TATTTATTATTAGAATATATAAATAGTATCAAGATATTTCTAGAGAGAATGATCCCACTTCCAAAAATTATAATGGTAAAAAATTGGCTAATTCTTGTTCCAAGAATTTCTCAGGGCTTATTTGACTGTTGGTGGATCCAACGTGAAGGAGAGAAGGACTACACCTACCACTCAACAACTTGTAATATGTATTCTAGAATTTACAGTTTTTTGACAGGTGAGCATAATTTCCATACATCCCCAGGTCTGATATTCTAGATCTGACCTGGTCAGGTCATGCCCCTATTGCGTTACATATAGAGGAATCTCGCCAACCAAACCTTAGCAGATCATGGAGACTAAGTAACTATCTGGTTACAAATATGGAAAATAAGTCACTACCTAAGAAAGTGCTTACTGAATACTTTAGGGACAATATGACTCCAAATATATAAATATCTTCATTATGGAATGCCATAAAACTGTCTTAAGAGGTAATTTTACACAGCCGGCTTCTTATTTGAAGAAAATTCAATCCAAACACTTATGGAAACTAAAGAAGGAACTATATAATTGAAATCAGGCAAACAAATTTGTCCCTTCTCCCTCTATTGTCGCTATGATTTCCGATGTTAAAAGTAAAGTTGATACTATTCAGTTGAAGCAGACAGCCTTGATATTAAAGAGACTTAAACAATTGTTTCATTCTAATGGTAATAAGACTTCCTCTTCATTAGCCTCTAAACTGCGACAGACTCTCTCAGTCCAGGATTGAGCATATATTGACTGAGGATGGTTTAAAAGTGATTCATCCAGTCAAGATAAGTAACCCTTTTGCTGCCTACTATAAAAAACTTTAGAACTTGGTATTTGATCCTAATGTGCAGCAGCCTACCATGAAAAATTTGCTCTTTTCTGGATAAAGTCACACTGAATCCAATCTCAATTGATACATTGGATACACTAAATTCTCAAGAAGAAATTGTGCAATTGCCATGATTCCTGCTGGCAAAGCTCTGGGACCTGATGGTTTTATGATGGCATATTATAAGTCCTTCTTTAGTGTTTTGGTCTCCCATATATCTAATCTATAACTATCAACCCTATCTAGCTAATATTCTTAACAATAAACACCTTATGTAATATAGCTCTGGCATTAACTTAGATATAATCTTAACTCCCTCTTTACCCTAACCACTTCTAACATTGTACCTCTATATGCATTTACACAGCTGTGTAGACTCAATATATTTACATGTTCAAACATAATACATTACAAGTAGAAATATGCACATGCAAACATTTATATATATATTCAGTTGTCAAAGCTGAGTACATGTTTATAAGATTTATTTTATGCCTGCCATGCCCAGTTAATAAATGCATTAGGCAAACTTTATCTGCCTTTTTTTTTGGGGGACAGGGGTCACCTCAGATTTATGTGCCTACAGGTATGAAAATCTGGCTCTGTTGAAATGGGAAACATCTGAGAAAACGTTTCCCCCCAAAAACCTCAACTTGAAGCAGAATATGTCTGGCTCTACACCTTCAAAATGAAGAGATTACCTATCTTGTGGGTCTACAGACAGACAACAGAGTTGTCTTTACATCATCTTAATCATCCTTAGTCATCTCATCTGTTTATTACTTCACCGTATGCAGAAACATACTCATCAACTCTGCACAGCCTTCATCTTTTAATGTCACTCACTGGAAAACTGCATCCCCACAATCTGAAAGAGATGCTTCATACCTGCAAACCTTAGACAAATGTTAACAGAATAAAATAAGAAACACAAATAACCCACATCATTAATAACCAGTCATAATTATGGAACATAGGAATTCTGTTGTAATTGAGTAGATTATGGTATGAAATGAACAGATTGGTTGGTAATTTATCAAAATATTGTACCCATGACAGAAACCTCTCACAAACAACACTCCAAGATTAACTGGATGAATAAGAAGTAAAAAAAACTCACTGCTACACTAGCTAAAAGAAGCCCCATCTCTTTCTTTTTTCCAACTGACCTGAAGATTCATTACATTTTCTTGCACTAAACAAGTGGCCCAGAGTTTAAGCTGACCTCTATGCCAAGGTTAGCATTCCCAATATGCAATAGGCTGCATACATGTTATAATTGTAGACCTATAAGCATGTAACATATGTACAGTCATGCAGAATCCCCTCTGTGTGTCCATGAAGTTTTCATCCTTACGCAGTCTTCTCTGTGCAAGGATGGCAACCCTATTGGGCATCGACTATTGGGGTAATTATGTAGCCCTGTCACCTCTGAAGTTAGCATGCCTACAAGTCTACATTTGGAAATGTATAAACTTCATATCCTTAGAGGTAATGTCAAAGATATTGACCTTTGTAGGACAGACCTGAGGTCTCTCAGCACTCTACCAATCTCATTTAAAGTTCTTTTATTTTTTTAACTTGGTCGCTGTAGCAGACTCCATTCCCTTATGTTCGGTTGTCCATACCCCCTTGTTCGTCTGCCGAAAGACTGGTGAGTGGTCCCTGGTTATCCCCCCGTGAACTCCGAACTCCCATGGCTGTTAACCACAAATTAACAACTTGACACCTTTGCTTGAGTGCTTTCTCTGCGTGGCTTATAACCGAACGCACGTGGTCCAGTGCATGACGGCCATTTTGTCTCCCGAACACAGGCAGCAGTACTTGGCTGTTGAATGCCTAAAACTGTTTTTGGGTGCCCGTTCAATTTCCCGACCATCTAGACCAGTGGTTCCCAACCCAGTCCTCAAGTACCCCCTAACAGTCCAGGATTTAAGGATTACTCAATTGCAGGCCCGGACTGGACATCGGGCATACAGGGCAAATGGGCTGATCTCCCTCACCAGCCCACAGGCACTGACATGCGGTTGGAGGGAGGCAGGAGAGCTCTAGCCAGCAGCTCCGCCGAGTTCCTCTCGCGGGATTCTGAGCATTGCCGCGGTTACCATGGCTAAAGTTCACTCTCACCACTGAGACCACCAGGGATGGATGGCAGCACGGCCCCCCTCCATGGCCTTCTTTAGGCCCCCTCCATGGCAGCACGGCTCCCCCCTCCCAGGCTAAAGGTAAGAAGGGAAGGCGGGATATAACTTTTTAAAATTAATAAATATATTTAAATTTAAACAAAAAAATATTCACACACACACACACACACACAGCACCCTCAGAGACACACACAGCACCCTCAGAGAAACACACAGTACCCTCACACACACAGCACCCTCAGAGACACACACACACAGCACCCTCACACACACACAGCACCCTCAGACACAGACAGCACCCTCAGATGCACAGCACCCTCACTCACAGAGCACCCTCAGGCACACACAGAGCACCATCAGACACAGATGTCACCCTCACTCACACAGCACCCTCACTTACAGAGCACCCTCAGGCACACACAGAGCACCCTCAGACATACACACATACACACACACACACACACACACACAGCACCCTCAGACACACACAGCTCCCTCAGACACAGACTTCATCCTCAGACGCACAGCACCCTCACTCAGCACCCTCACTCACCCTCAGTGAGTTAACAGACAAAGAAAATTAGAAACATGGAATGTGACGGCAGATAAGAACACCCTCACACACTCAGCACCCCTCTGACACACACACTGCACCCCTCTTATACACACACTGCACCCCTCACACACATACACACTGTACCATTCACACACATGCTGCACCTCTCACACACATATTGCACCCTTCACACATACACACAGCACACCCAGCACACTGCGCCCCTCACACATACAATATGTCTAAATATACACATGCACCATACGCTTTCCTGGCCCTTTTGTCCTCTGGTATCCCATTTATGGAGACACCAGAGACAAGTTTAAAGCAAACACAGTGCAAGCATGTTATTACATTTGCTTGTGCTGCGCAGAACAAATATAGGGCCTTTTTCTTATGCTAAAGCTATTCAGCGGGACTCATTGAGCCAACATGCTCACTTCGAGAGGGGGCGTGCTTGTCATTAGTGATGACAAAACACACCCTCTCTGGCCCCGCACCCTTCTGATGGGGCCGCTGTGATTGATAAATGCCCGGGCCTAATTTTCTTCCCAGTCCAGCCCTGCTCAATTGTGTCTAAGGTGTTTTGAGGGAAAAAACAAAAAAACACTTTAGACACAACAGGGTAATTCCTAAATCCAGGACTGGTAGGGGGTACTTGAGGACTGGGTTGGGAACCCCTGATCTAGACGAAAGCCGTTCGGGAGATATGATCTACCAAACAGGGGAAGCACTTGCTCCATAGCAGCTAGTAGGTGCGTTCGTCAGTGTTCGCACAGGAACCCCCGAAGGCCGACCAGCCATCCTGCCCATTTCTCTTGAACTGTTTTGGGCTATCACCTCGTGGCCGGTCGGTCAAAACTTTGTTCGAACGTAACTTTCGTTTTACAGAACCGATCTGAGTGCTTTTTGGATATGTTGTGCGCTCAGATCGGGGCTATTTAGGAACATGATTTTTGTGAGGTTCCTTTACTGTTTTCATGTATTTTTTTGATATGTTAAAATATGTAAGTTTTTGTATTTGAGAGATAATTATCCTAATTTGAACTTAATTATCTCAAACACAAAGGCTCTTGGGAAAGAAACCCTTGTGTTTTTTTATTTATTAATTCTTTATTTTTGTAGTGCGTAGAGGTATAACAATGAGCATGCGGTACCCCAACGGCATTCCTCATGCTTTCAAGTAATAATGGTAACAATAGGGTACATGTTAATATGTGCACATTTTATATGTTAAATGATTATGAAGCTTGTCAGTCAGACTCGATAACTTGGTGGTGTTTAAACAGGCTTAGACAATGTAGTAACATCTTGAAATTTCAACAGGCTAAAGCTTACAACATAGTGAATACGTTACATTAAGCAGTGGGTGAGTATATATATCTGCATTTAGATAATTTTTGGCAGCTCTCTTTCAGTTTGATAGATAATAGATGGAAGGTAGCAAAGTTGTAGTTATGCAACTACGTCTGTCATATTGCCTTACTTTATCTGATGATAACAGTGGCTTAATATTTACGTAGCGTGTCATCGCTATACTATCTAGACCTCGTCTTGGTTATGCTGAATAGTGTATAAGTGAGAGGCATATCTTTAATGTAGCAACTGCTGGATCGAGTAGTCATGACCCGTAGTAGGTAACACAGAAGGATTGTGTTGCAGATTATGCTAGGGTGAGCAATGCTGACTACCGGGGAACGGGTAATGCCATTAAGGTTTTATCATACCTAAAATTTTCATTAATACAGGGTGCCACCAGGCAGGGCGTCTTACATTCCTGTGTGACCTTTATATAAATACTGCTAAACCACAGTTAAACTATGTATAAGATTGTGTGCAGAGGGTGTGCAGGATGTTCTGTGACTGCATTTGTAGCGCTATCTGTTGCAGTGAGTCGTGGCATATCATACTTCATGCTACTTATTATGAATGGCTGGGGTCACCGCCAGCTCCATCTCGGCGTAAAGCGTGAGATAGTTGGGTCATACACAAATGGAGAAAGATATTTCAATCACCTTGCTATAACTTTAAGGAGAAGAAAAAAAAAAAAAAAATATAATAAGAATGAGAACTCAAATTAACTTAAAGTCACAAAGTGAAGTAGCTTGAGGGTCGTTCCAGTCACCTTCGGTCTCGGTCAGAGCGTCTCTCGTTGTTTCATGTGGTCGCTGCAGCATACGGTTCCCCTGTGTTTCGTCGAGGTGTGAACGGGGTAATTTTGCTTGGATTCCAGGTATGCTTGTGTCTGGGTTCAGGTTGTTGCTGAGGGTTGATTGGAATGTCCTGCGGCAGTCCCAGATCCCTCAGGAGTGTGTCTGCCTCTCGTAGGTCTTGGATTTGGTATGTGGTCTCTCCATGTATGATCTGAAGCATGCGGGGCATTCGCCAGCGGTACTCGATGTTTCGCTGTTGGAGCATGGATGTGAGGGGCTTGAGCGACCTCCGCCAGGCCATCGTGTTGCCGGACAGGTCATTATAGAATTCCAGTGCCATGTTTTCAAAACGATAGTTTGGCCTACCCCTGATTGCCTTCAGGATCGCCGCCTTGTCTGTTCCGTGCCTGAATTGAATTATCAGGTCGCTTGATGTCGACGGTGGGGCTCTGGCCGGTTTGGGGATTCTAAAAAGCCCGTCCAGGGGTGTTGCTTTCGCCTGTTTTTGTGGTAGGAGATCCCCCATCATTCTCCTCACCAGGTGTGGCAGCTCCGCTTCAGGGACAGCATCAGGTACCCCCCGGAGCTTCAAATTATTCCTCCGCCGTAGGTCTTCTAGATTTGCAAAGCGGCATTCGTGGGTCTGGTTCTGCCGCTGGAGGTCTTGCACCGCTTTCTCCAGCACCTGTATACGCTGAGAGTCCTGGTGAGTGGTGGTTTCCAGCTTGTCAATTCGGCCTGTCAGTCCTTGCAGCCCTCCCCTAATTGTGGCAATGTCAGCCTGCAGGGTGTTCTGTAGGTCGGCAAGGAGACCCTTGAGCGCCGATAGTGTGACCGGGGATGTGTCCGGTTTCGTCGATGGGGGTTTAGCCGGCGTGGGTTCAGGCGTCTCTTCCTCTTCGGAAGCCAGGTCGTCCGAAAAATCGAAGCAACCGCCCGACAGGTCGGCCATCTTGGGCCCGGCCGCGCCATGTGCTAGGCGCCACATTTCTCCGATATTCATCCCAAGGTGAGGTTGATCCTGCTTGGGTTTTTTGGTTTTGCGTCCCATAGTCGTTAGGTGTGTGGGTCCGACATCTGGGGGCTCGTTATGGCCGGGGGTGACCCTAAAAATTGCGATTTTGTCCGCTTTTGGGTTGGAGCTGCAGTGTCATGCGACTTCTCTCTCTGGTGGCTAGGCTCCGCCGAAACCCTTGTGTTTTTAACTTGGAAAACCCCATGCTAAGGGCAATGCATAAAAACCAAGTGTGGCAAAATAAAGTCCGTTGTACTCCCAGAACTATGTGTCGTCCAGTTGCTGGGGAGGAGGTGGGCTACTTACTTGGCATTTTCTTGTTCCTGATTCCCGTCTTGGTGATCCAGTGGAGGAAAGTCCCTGTTAGGAGTAAGGGCTCTGCTACATTCGCTAAGAGAGCTGTATATCATCTGCACTGTGCACTATGTTTGATGTTGAAGAGTTAATAAGGCTGTGTATTTTCCAACACATATTGGTGTGCATATTCCTTTATTGTTTTAAAAAGACTTGAGTATCGGCATGCAGATAAAGGTATATCACTTAAAGGGACTCTCCAGTGCCAGGAAAACAAACCATTTTCCTGGCACTGCAGGTCCCCTCTCCCTCCCACCTCCCATCCCAGGTTGTACCCTACCTGTATCCAGCGCCGATGTCCCTCGGTTCAGGGTCCGCCCACGCTCCTCCCCCGCTGACGTAATCCAGGAGGGGGGAGACCTATTGCGCGGCCGGCGACGGGGGAGACCCAATGCGCATGCCCGGCAATGAATTGAAAACACTTTGAAGATGGGGATTTCAGCTACGCTGGAGGTCCTAACATAGCGTGAGGACGTCCAGCAATGCTATAGCACAGAAAATCTGTGCTATAAACCCGGAAGTGCCCTCTAGTGGCTGTCTAGTAGACAGCCACTAGAGGAGGAGTTAACCGTGCAAGGTAAATATTGCAGTTTATGAAAACTATACAAGATATAAGATACACCTAGATGAAAATAACAAGAAGGGAAACAATCATAGGGAAACACCGTTTAGTAGATGGTACCCTAAGGTGATATTGCACTCACGAAATTATGATGAAAATCAAGCCCATCTAGATTTTCTTTGGTCTTGTCAAGAAGTCTTGTGAGGAGATATTTACGACTCTCTAAGAGTCCGAATGAAACCTTTAAACATGAACTTAAGACTCTTTTGGATAAAGCTGTAGAAGAGCAAAATATAGTTGTTGGAACTTATCGTTTTTTATACCAAGAGCATCCTCGAGTTCCAACATTCTATTTTTTGCCTAAAGTTCATAAATGTCAAACAAATCCACCTGGTAGACCCATCATCAGTGGAATTGACTCTTTGACTTCCAACTTATCCCAATTCATTGACCATTATCTACAACCATATGCCCAATCCTCCTTATCCTATTTAAAAGACACGAAGCACCTCTTACAGGAACTCGATTCTATCGAGTGGCAAGAAGGGTACATGTGGGCATCTTTAGATGTGGGATCCCTTTATACTGTCATTGACCATCAATTAGGCTTATTAGCCGTGAGTGATAATTTAAACAAGGATATTTCCTTGAATCAGGGTTTTGCCCATTTTTTGCTTGAAGCGATTCAATTTATACTCACTCATAATTTTTTTATGTTCAATGATGAGTTCTTCCTACAGATCAAGGGTACTGCCATGGGCACCAGGTTTGCCCCGAGTTATGCCAACATTTTTATGGATTATTGGGAGCGCCGATTCGTTTGGGAACATAATCCATTTGGGGCAGATCTGGTGCTCTGGCGTCGTTACATTGACGATATCCTTGTGATATGGAAGGGGTCTGAGGAACGTTTATTAATTTTTTTTGAATATCTCAACTATAATACTTTTTCACTTGTTTTTTCTCCTATGTATAATTCTACCACCATAGACTTTCTAGACCTGACCATATTTATACAAGAAGGTCACATTCAAACCAAAACATACTTTAAACCCACAGACACTAATAATTATATCGAATCATCAAGCGGACACCACCCAAGATGGTTGTCGGGAGTACCCAGAAGTCAATATACCCGACTTCGGAGAAATTGTTCCAATACAGAAGTTTTTTTAGAACAAGCAAATATTCTGACTAGGAAATTTACTGAGAAAGGTTATAATAGGTAGGTTTTGGATAGAGAAATAGAGAAAATAACGAATACTCAAAGAGGTGATCTTTTAATTGATAAGATCAAATGCACTGAGAACTCGAATAGGAAATTTGAATTCTCATTTCACACTAATTATAATTCCAAAGCTTTTGCAATAAATAAATTTTTTTTAAAACACTGGGAGATTTTAAGACATGATCAATTTATAGGCTCCAAATTACCCTTATACCCTCAGATAGTATATAGGAAAGGGAGGAGTTTTTCATCTTACTTAGCACCTAGCCATTTTCGAAGTGGGGAACAACAGGAACTGAAGGTAAAAAAAGGGTTTTATACCTGTGGCGTCTGCAAAGCATGTAAAGGCTTACCCCCTTATACTTGTTCTTTTAAGAGCTTTATAACCCAAGAAATTTTTCAGATCCAAAGTCGGGTGACCTGTTCTTCCTCACATGTTGTATACCTCCTCACATGTGGGTGTGGTGTCTAATATGTGGGGAGAACAGGAAGAAAAGCCAAATTGCGTTACTTGGAACATCTAAACAATATTAGACACAAAAAGATGGATCATTCTGTTCCTGTTCATTGCAATCAGTGTCCCCTTTTCTCTTTTCATGTTTTCTCTTGGGTGATTATTGAACAAGTAACACTTGACGCAAGAGGTGGAGATATAACTTTAAAATTAAGACAGAGGGAAGGATTTTGGATCCACAAACTCAAAACCCTTCAACCTTATGGGTTGAATGTGGATTTTGATTTTGTTTGTTTTCTCTAATATATACATTTTTCATTTTTTATTCCATTTTATTTTTAATTTTTTATTTATTATTATTTATTTATTTTTTATTTTATTTTATTTTATTTTTTATTCTATATTTTTTTATTCTTCATTTTATTTTATTTTTATTTTTATTTTTATTATTATTATTTTTATTATTTATTTTTATCCTTATTTTTATTCTCATTATTATTATTTATTATTTTTTATTTTATTTTCATATCTATTATTATTATCCATATCCTTTAGATTTATATTTTATATATTTTTCTACTCATTTTTTCATTCATGTTTTTCATCCATGTTTATTCATTTATAGATGTATCCAAGACCCTTCCCTTTGGGCATATTACTTTTTTCTTTCTCTCTCGCCACTTTTTTGCACTAGCTTTATGTATATATATATTATGTATGTTCTGTATATATAACTCCATTTCTCCGTTATACTATCTCTCTTACAAGTGTGAACTAATTTTAATGGCTTAACGGCCAAACTGGAACGCACGTGCGTTCCAAATGATGACGTTGATAGAAGAGATCTTTCCCCTTCCGGCTAGGTGGAACGCAGATGCGCTCCACGAAGTGAATTACGGAAGTCCATATATGGAATGGGACTTCTGTTTATCGCAATCAGCTGCTACTAAGTGCACAGATTGGACGGCGTGGATGAGAACCCGGCAAAAGAGATTTATAAAGAAGACCGAACAGAAGATAAGAGCAACATTGATGGACTCAGTACATTTGTAGTTTATTTGATTGTTTTTATTGCTCCTGAGGAAGTCTAAGTCTTTTAGACGAAACGCGTAGAGCTGTTTTGATTTTATTTTATTTTATTTGATCTGCCATCTCTGTATTTGCTACCTCTGATTACCATCCTACAAAGGAGACATTTACTTGATGGGCGTTTTTACCTACAACTTGTGTAAGTGCTTCCAATAAAATGTAATTCTTTTTTACCATACAATTCTATACTATGTTCGGTTTTTCTTCATTTTGAGGCATTTAACCATCTCCTCACAAGACTTCTTGACAAGACCAAAGAAAATCTAGATGGGCTTAATTTTCATCATAATTTCGTGAGTGCAATATCACCTTAGGGTACCATCTACTAAACGGTGTTTCCCTATGATTGTTTCCCTTCTTGTTATTTTCATCTAGGTGTATCTTATATCTTGTATGCATTTTTTGAAGCTCTGAGGAACTTCTTGTTACAACCTAGAACTTTTAAGGGAAGTAATTTTTTACCTTATTTTATATATTTTGCTGCACTTGGGTGGCCTTTTATTACATACGAGTTTATGAAAACTGCAATATTTACAGTTGCAGGGTTAAGGGTAGCGGGAGTTGGCACCCAGACCACTCCAATGGGCAGAAGTGGTCTGGGTGCTTGGAGTGCCCCTTTAAAGATCATTTCAAAAGAACCCTGTGCACAAGAGTGAAAATAATGGGTGATTTTTTTTTTTTTAAATCCAAATAAATATAATGGTAGACATATAATTACACTGATAGAATACTGATGCTGAGGTTGGAGGAACAATGCACAAAAGTTGCATAAATGAATAATAAATTGCAGTTATTGACAATTTCTAAATTACATCCTGTGCTGATTGCTAAATTTTTCTTTTAATGCTAATTTACAGGCTTGCAATAAATACAGCTTTAGATCAATGGGTTTTAAATTATATGTACAATTTATAAGACAATTTATTAAGTTACATGGGTTCATTTACACTTATATTAAGGTATGCTGTTATTTTATTTAATGAAGAGAGCTGCCATTTTAAG